GTGGCCAGAAACGTCAGCCTTCCTGCTCCTCTGATGCTGCTTGGCCTGCTGTGTTCATCCAGCTCTACACCTTGTTATCTCAGATTCTCCAGCATCTGCAGTTCCTACTATCTCTGCAGAGAGATTCACTCTGGAATCTGACTCATCCAGTATTATCATCAACTAGGATCGTAACATTTGTTATATCAATATTATTAAAGTTTGTCATTTTTAATCTTCAGAACTGGAGATCGTTTTATTGAAGAGAGAAGTCTTCTACAAGCTGTCCGTTCATATGTCTTTTTTTCTCAGCTGAGTGCTTGGCTGAGTGCATCACAAGGTGCTGTTCCACGCAATATTCTTTACCGGTGAGTAACTAAACAATGTTTTCATGTTTTAGAATAGTGTGTTTCAAAGAAGAAAAAGAGCAAGAACTTTTTGTCGTGGATAATCAATGATAAATAATTAGCTATAGTTCACCCCCAAAATTGTAGGAATCTGTCTGTATTGATTTATATATAGCTTGAAGGACACCAATCCACAAGCAAGGGGCAAGGCAAGGAGAGAAATCTCCACATTGTACCTCAAAATTAATGTGCATGAAAATGGAGGTAACACATTCAATTAGAGAGAAAATTGGTGAGGAGATAAGTGAGGACGCTGATCCAGCAGAGGGCGGTGGTGATGCTAATTGGCAGTTGGGGCAAAGATTTGCATTGGCGTAATCACCACCAGCAGAAGGAGGACCTCAGCAAGACACCTTCCGAGTTCAAGTGAAGACGAGAGCATCCGGCAGAGGGTGGCGACGATGCTGATTGGTGGTTGAGGTGAAGATTTGTTTCGGCGCTGTCACCACTATCAAACATGGGGTTTGTGGAGGAAGTATTGTCAAGAGATGAACAAACAACATAGGCAAGACTAGGAAAGAAGACCTGTTCAGGGATTATCAGGAGCTAGGAACGAAATTAAAGAGCAGGCCCTGAAGGGTTATAATCTCTGGACTCCTGCCCGAGCCACATGCAAATTGGCACAGGGACACAAAAATAAGGAAAGTAAACATGTGGCAGAAAGAGGGGCTCCTTTTCATGGGGCACTGGCATCAGTATTGGAACAGGAGGGACCCATACCACTGGGACGGTCTCTACCTGAACCAAGCTGGGACCAGTGTTTTAGCAAAAAGGGTAAATAGGCTGGTCAACAGGACTTTAAACTAGAAAGTGGTGGGGAAGGGAAGGGTAAAACTTCCCCCAGTGGGGAACAAAGCAGCAGGTTAACATCTGTAGGGGTAGATTCCGCTGTGTGGAAAAAATATGAAGAACATGATGGGAAAGGAGAATTCAGGAGAGATCATTAAAATCTCCAGCACAGACACAAGTACGACAGAGTGTTTGGAAAGAGTTAGCAATCAAACTTCAAGCACACTGGATAAATGAATGATAATGAGAAGAGAGACGGTTAATACAGGACTGAAGGTGTTCTATCTGAATGCACGCAGTGTAAGAAAGAAGGTAAATGAGCTTGTGGCACAGATCAAAATTGGCAGATATACGTGGTGGGCATCACGGAGACATGGCTACAAGGGGATCAGGATTGGGAGCTGAATATCCCAGGATATACATCTTATCGAAAAGATAGGCAGGTGGACAGAGGGTATGGGGTTGCCTTGTTAGTAAGAAATGAAATTAAACCAATAGTAAGAAATCAAGTAGGTTCAGATGGTATAGAATTTGTGTGGGTAGAGTTGAGGAAATGCAGAGGTTAAAAAACCATGGTCGGAATTATGTACAGGCCGCCAAACAGTAGTCAGGAGCTGGGGTGCAAGATATACCAGGAGACATAAAAGATGTGTAGGAAAGGCAAAGTTGCGGTGATCATGGGGAATTTCAATATGCAGGTGGACTGGAAAAATCATATTGGTAGTGGTTTGCAAGGAAAGGAATTTGTGGAATGTCTATGAGATGGCTTTTTGGAGTAGCTTGTGATGGTGCCCACTGGGGAACAGGGAATACTGCATTTAGTGTTGTGCAATGAGGCAGACTTGATAGGGGAGCTTAAGATGAAGGAACCCTTTGGAGGCGGTGATCATAATATGATTGAATTAACTCTGCAATTTGAGAGGGAGAAGATAGAATCAGAGGTAATGGTATTACAGCTGAATAAAGGTAACTACAGAGGCAAAGGGGGAGGAGCTGGGCAGAATTGACTGGGAGAGAAGACCATCAGGAAGGACTGTGGAACAGCAATGGCAAGAGTTTCTAGGAGTAATTCAGAAGACACAGCAAAAATTCATCCCTAGGAAAAAAGCATGGCGTACGGACGAAGAGGCAACCATGGCTGACGAAGGAAGTCAGGGATAGCTTAAAAGCAAAAGAGAAAGCACATAATATGGTGAAGGGCAGTGGGAAACCAGAGGATTGGAAAGCTCACAAAGACCAACAGAGGACAACAAAAAAAGAAATAAGGAGGGGGAGAAGATTAAATATGAGGGTAAGCTAGCCAGTAATATAAAGGAGGACTGTAAGAGTCTCTTTAGATATATATAAAGGACAAAAGAGAGGCCAAAGTGGACATTGGACTGCTGGAAAATGACACTGGAGAGATAATAGTGGGGGAAAAAGGAAATGGGAAAGGAACTGAATAATTACTTTGCGTCAGTCTTCACAGTGTAATATCCCAAAAATTCAAGAGAGTCGGGGGCAGAGCTGAGTATGGTGGCCATCACCAAGGAGAAGGTGCTAGAAAAACTGAATGGCCTGAAGGTGGATAAATCACCAGGACCAGATGGACTACACTCCTGAGTTCTTAAGGAGATAGCTGAAGAGATAGTGGAGGCATTAGTGGTGATCTTTCAGGAATCACTAGAGTCAGGAGGGTCTACAAGACTGGAAAATCACTAACGTGACATCCCGTTTAGAAAGGGAGTAAGGCAAACGATTGAAAATTACAGACCAATTAGCCTAATCTTGGTTATGGGTAAGATTTTGGAGTCCATTGTGAAGGATGAGATTTCTGAATACTTGGAAGTGCTTGGTAAAATAGGGCAAAGTCAGTGTGGCTTCATCAAGGGGAGGTCATGCCTGACAAATCTGTTAGAATTCTTTTTGAGGAAGTAACAAGTAGGTTAGACCAAGGAGAACCAATGGATGTTATGTACTTGGACTTCTATGTAGGCCTTTGACAAGGTGCCGCACGGGAGGCAGCTGAGTAAGATAAGGGCCCGTGGTGTTAGAGGCAAGGTACTAGCATGGATAGAAGATTGGCTCTCTGGCAGAAAGCAGAGAGTGGGAATAAAAGGGTCTTTCTCAGGATGGCACAAGTGGTCTTCCAAAAGGGTCAGTGTTAGGACCACAACTTTTCACTTTATACATGAATGATCTAGATGCAGGAACTGAGAGCATTCTGGCTAAATTTGCAGATAACACAAAGATAGGTGGAGGGACAGGTAGTATTGAGGAGGCAGGGAGGCTGCAGAAGGATTTGCACAGGTTAGGAGAGTGGGTAAGAAGTGGCAAATGGAGTACAACGTGGGAAAGTGTGAGGTCATGCACTTTGGTAAGAAGAATAAAAGCATGGACTATTTTCTAAATGGGGAGAAAATTCAGAAGTCTGAAGTGCGAAGAGACTTGGGAGTTCTAGACCAGGATTCTCTCAAGGTAAACTTGCAGGTTGAGTCAGTAGTTAGGAAGGCAAATGCAACTTTGGCATTTATTTTGAGAGGTCTTGAATATAAAAGCAGGGATGTACTTCTGAGGCTCTATAAGGCTCTGGTCAGGCCACATTTGGCATATTTTGCGCAGTTTTGGGCCCTGTACCTCGGGAAGATGCACTGACCCTGAAGCGGGTTCAGAAGAGGTTCACGAGAATGGTCCTAGGAATGAAAAGCTTAACATATGAGCATTGTTTGAGGACTCTTGGTCTATACTCGATGGAGTTTAGAAGGATGAGGCGGGATCTAATTGAAACTTAAAGAATACTGAATGACCTGGACAGACTGAATGCTGGGAGGATGTTTCCATTGGTAGGAGAGACCAGGACCCGAAGGCACAGCCTTAGAGTAAAGGGAATACCTTTTAGTTCAGAGATAAGGAGAAACTTCTTCAGCCAGAGAGTGTGAATCTATGGAATTCACTGCCACAGAAGGCTGTGAAGGCCAGGTCATGAGTATATTTAAGACAGAGATAAATAGGTTCTTGATTGTCAAGGGGATCAAGGGTTACGGGGAGAAAGCGGAAGAATGGGGTTGAGAAACTAATCGGCCGTAATTGAATGGCCTAATTTCTTCTCCTATGTCTTATAGGTCTTAAGGTTTGATATGCTGAAATTGGCTGGATTTGATTAGTGCTGATCACCAGGGACTGCATTTGGGCTTTAACATGTATTAATATGTGACTTGGATTAAGGAATAGAGATCCATATATCTAGGTTTTCAAGCAATGCTAAATTAGGGTGGTACAGTTTATGGTGCAGATGGGACCAGAAAGTCAGGATGTTGGCAAAATTGTGGCAGATGAAGTTCAGTGGGGAAAAGCATATTGGGGAATGTGGAAGTCCAAGTGCAGATAGCATGACAAAACTAATTGCAGGTACAAATAATTCAAAAAGGCTTTGACAAAAACAGTAACTTGTTTTATATTGAAGGATTTTATAAATATACCTCCTGGCATTTTAAGGGAGCAGTAAAAGCACTGGTGGATTAGTCTTTGCCATGTTAGGAGATTGCCAGTGAAGTCTTGATGGTCACCTGTTGGGATCTGTGGAAAGGAGGAGGGTCTTCTTTTTGGACACTCTTTAGCCCATAATGGAACCCCAGGGAGCAGTGGCTAATTCTGTGGCATCATTGCCTCCTGTCCTCAGAGCCTGCCTAACTGTCTGTGCTGGCCCTAGATTACTTACCTGGTTGTGAGGGGATTTATCCATTAATGTGGGCTCTTTCTCTAAGTACAGCCCTACCAGTAGCCTCTGCTACCAGTGCTGCTGGTCCTGTGTTTGTGTTAGCAACTGTTTGGAATGGGTGAGCAAGGGGACATTATCTTCAAAGGGTGGCAAGGCCAACAGCAGCCACTAAATTAGTTGTACCTTTGAAAATACAACTCCAGTTCCCACCACCCACCAAAGCAAGATATACGTGCAGCTTGGATTTTGTCTTCTTTCACTTCTAGAAATTCCAGGCTCTGGCTTTTGTTGCTCTAGCCAAGATTGTTTCATTGTTAGCTATAGTAATGCATAAGTCTTTTTTTGACTGATTATATTTTTGTATGTGACTTGTTAATTTTGTTTTGCTTAATCTTCAGAATAAGTGCAACAGATGAAGATATGTTGCTAAATTTTACCCAGCCTCCAGTTGAACATGTCTTTCCAGTTCCTAATATTTCTCATAACCTGGCTTTGCGAGTGAGTGTCCTATCCTTGCCCAGGCAGCCTACTTACCCATTGTTGACATGCAGTATTCATAGTACTCTCAGTTTCTATGGGAAAAGTATTCCCAGTCAAGAAAAGGATGCTTCTCAACCTACCAGTGCAAAAGAGCAAGACTACTGTATGCCAGGGGCACAACAGAAGTATAATAAGCAAACATTGACGGCTGTCAGAAACCATGGATTGCTATCAACAAGTGCAGTAAACGCAAGAAAATCTCCTTCTCCTGAGATCTTGGAACCAGGCAAATCATCAACAAGTGATTCTGATAAAATACCTGAAATCAGAAATTCGCAGACAAAGGCTCAGAGTTGCAATTGGGCAAATGCTACTGAAATAACTAAACTACAGTCATATGAGAGCCAAACAATGAAGACATTAAAGTCATTTTCAGCTACAGATTCCAATGGAACCAGCAGTACATCTTCTCCTATTCTTTCAGTTGAGATTAACCCTTTGATAGGAAACTTGCTTCAAGAAAGGGAAGAAGTGATCGCACGAATTGCCCAACAACTGAATTATTGTGAACAAAATCCACATGTTGCTGGAAGTCATTTTGGTGCAGTGCAAGAGCCAAGTTCAACTAGTGCAAAACTACTTCAGAGTTCATATGAAGAAAGCCTGAAAAGCCGAGGGAAAGAGACTCCTTGCAGTTCAGCTACCTGCACTGAAAGCAGTTTCTTGGAAAACAGACATGTGGAGAAGAGCAGGACCTCTTCTGAAGATACCCCAGTCACATTATGTAGAAAGGTAAAAGTTGATATTGATAAAACAGTTTGTCCAAGGTCACAGACACGACGAAAACTATTTCCAGTGGACTCTGTTACAGATAAGAATGGCACATCTGAAACAAAATATCCTGCTGAAAGAACTGTAAGTAAACATAATAATTCAGACCTGTCACAAGCCCTTGACACAGGTAAAGTGAACTGCAAGTGCCCAGTCTCTGACAACACTGTAATTGACAAAACTAGAGTAGAGTCATTATGTCCCGTTTCCTTCTATGAGGACATTGTGAACTGTACAGAAAATTCTAAATTACATCTACATACCCCTGATACACACCATGATGTTTCAGAACTTGACAATGCAAGTTCATTTAATAGAGAAAAATCAGACTGTTCCTATCCTGTTAACTTGGACTCAAGCATTTGTACTCAGAATGTCATAAACATTGCAAAAAATAAACCAGCTAGCACAGAAAGCTCATATCCCTGGTGTTCATTGTCTACAAACCGCAGAGAGTTTGGGTATTCCTGCTCCAAAATCGAATGCAATAAATTGAATACTTCCAGCGATAGTCATTTTGACACAACACAACCTGCAGCCAAAGAAACTGTTAGTTCAATAAAGAAAGGAGACCAGGATAAAACTGATGTGCAGATTCAGAGTTGTGATTCATTACAATGCACCCATAATTCGGCTATGCCAAGAAGACTTAATGGAGACTGTAAAGAAAAGCCTGGAGGATCTCAGGTGCATAGTGTAAGAACATTTTACTTTCTTCTCCATTGGTAGTTAATGATCCTTAAGCAATTTAATTTGACTTAGCATGGAATGCAGCAATTTGTTAACATTACAGAAAAATATTCATCATGCTCCTGCCTTGTATTAACTTCAATTATATACAAACTTAAGTTTAATGAGTTTTGTCGGTCTTCCAAATACTGATGGCACATTCTTTTTCAGTAACAAGACTTAATTGGAGCCTTTTGTTATTTGCTTGGGAGGCAACTCAAGCAAACTTTCACTTCCATAGGCATTCGGGCGATTAGGTACGTGATAAGGTTGTGATTATTTGTGAGGATTACTTCTTCCACCTGTCCAGATGCCATGTCAGAGCCTTTGACCTCAAGCACAGCAACATCCCATACAGCGGCATCCTTTATATGTGGGGGAAAAAAGGAAAGAATACTGTTCTGGTTGCCTTCACTGCCTTGCCCCTGCGGGCCTTTGCTGTTTTGCACACTGCCCCTCCCCTTGCATAACCTTGCACCTCACCTGACTTTGCACGTGGTCCCTTCCTGCTTGCCTCACTCACCTTCATTTCTCCCACAACCATTGCCACATTTTTTAAACCTTCATTCCTTCCCACTACCCTGCAACATGTCACACTTTGTTTCACGACTGGTTTGCTTCACTCACAATACACACTGCTTTCTCCTTGTTTCTTCTGTGACTTCGATCACATTCTTCATTGCTGGCTTGCTTCCTTGCACCACTTTTCCTCCTCCCACATTCCCTCATGCAGCACCCCACCTCTGTTTCCTTTGCTGCTGACTCGTTTCTGGAATGTACAAGAAGAAGTGTAAGGGAGAAGCAAATGCTGGTTATTACAGTCATAGAAGTTATGGATCAAAATAATGCAAACATTTGCAAGTTAGGATAGGCGAATTGATTTGCATGTTAAGTGATATAGTTTCTTAGATTTTATATATATATGTGTGTGTATATATATATATGTACTTGTGAATCTAATTTCAGAAAAAAAGTGCTACTTTGTGATATTTTAATTCAATGTATTCTATTAATTCTTGGTTATTCTTGTTACTGTACTAAGCTGCTTGCATTTGATTTTTTTTCCGGCATTACTGTTTGGCACATTTCATTTTATGAATATTGTAATTGTGCAATGATTGCAGCATAGGTAATTAATTCCTCTTGCATAACCTTCATTCAGAACTCAACTGTTTCAAAGTAGGCTGAAAATAACCGGGAACATCTGGATAGTTCAGAAACTGTCTCATGGGAGTGCTATGAAAGACAACTACCTTACTGTCACAATATTTCTTAGCAGTTTCATCAGCCCATGGGAGTTTCCTATCCATCACTGTTCCTATGTAGTTAAATGTCTTGCCTTGCACATGAACATGTATTTCTTTGTGAAGAAAATCGACCATGAAGATGAAGGATATCAATGGTACCGTGTGAAACAAGTCTTTCAGTTTTTAAAACTCAATGCCAGCATCAGGCATGCCTGGTTACCAACTAGATACAGTTATTTCAGTATTAACTTTGAAGTTTATTTGAGGGCAAATGTGCGATCAAGTGTTCAGGAAAAAATTGACAGCAAGCCTGATTAGCGCACTTTTTGTCTCTTTCTCCCACTAGAGCCAATAATCAAGGACTGGGAGACATTGGAGGCTGGGAGTATTAGTGATGAAAAGGAGGGTTTGGTCAGTGCAAGGTTGTGACTCAGACTGTGGGATTGATTAAAGCTGACTGAAGCAGTTAAGGGGAAAAATACTTAATTTCTGGATCCAAGAATCCACCTATTATTAGCTGCTGAGTTTCCCGGGTGGGGGGTGAAATTTAAAATGGGAATTAAATGTGCAGTACACAGGCTTATTGAAATATTATCAAGGTGTTAAGTGAAACTGCCATCCAATTATTCAGGACTGGATGGCAAAGACCAATACCATACATTAGCCAAGTGTAACATCCAACCGTGAAAATCTTTCCTTACTTAAAGGAAAGAGTCTTTAAAAGCTGTTAGTCATTTACCACCATTCAGAGACCTCAAAATTCCAAATATCCATTACTTTCTGTTTAGTTTGTGGACAACCTAATAAACCATATTTTATTCAAAATAATTTTTTAAAGTCCATAATGGGCACATTTTTCCTGCAGAAGAACTTTTCAAAATCTCCTTTGAAACCTTCTGGCAACTTTTGGAAGAAGCAAAATCGACGCTCATTAGATGGGGTTTCAACTAAAGTTTTTCACCCGTGTACTGGATTACCCTTGCTTTCAAGTCCTGTAAGTTAATATTGGTTTGACTTTGTTTTAACTGGCTTAATATTCTGTCTTTAAATGCACAAATTTTAATAAATATAATTTACAACTATAGATTTTTCTCGAAGAGTGTGTCATTTAAAGTACTGTAATTGATGCTGTCTCCTCTACAAACCCACTGGAGCAGGAAGTCCATGCTGCTGGTATCATTGCAGAGTGACCACTGTTGTTTATTCCTGGCTGCTCCATACACTACCCTTCTCACTGCATCCCCGCTACCTCATTTGCCACGCTCCTTACCACCCCTCTCAGGAATCTGCTTGCAATTTGCTCAAGGAGTGTGGTAGCCCGTGATGTAGCAGGTGAGGCAGCAAGTGCTCTTGCTGAGAGCTTCTCTGGGTGCACAGTTTTGCAGTTTGTTCAAATGACACTAGCCTGCTACAATCAATAAACTTAAAAGTATGTAACTATTCCACAGATCCTGCAGCATTGCCGGCAGTGATGTCGGATGCAAGTTGTTTGCAAGTCATCGATGACATTGTTAATTAGATTAGACTCTGTCCCAGGTTTCCCATAAAGAACGTGATTAAAACTGGCCTCTTCCAAGTTTATAAAAGTTGATTTGCATTTTTCAAAATTGTATTGCTTTGGAGGAAGAACAGCTCAGACTGTTTAGATCTTATGCCATATCATGTAAAGCCTCATAATATTGCAATTACAGGACACAGCTAGTTGAAGCTTATCTATTTTGGTACTTCATTTGAGCCATACCTGCACACTTTGAATGCCCGGATTTTGTTGCAGTCAATGAATTTGCATGATACTTGGTCAGAGGTAGACCCTGGTAAAATTACATGATTGTATTCTTCAGACAATTCTGTTAACATGTTTGATCGGCAATTTACTGCAATTGTGCGCAGCAAAAAGTTCAATTATTATTATTTAATGTAACACTTTTTCAGTGGAAATCTTTTTCAAGGTTTATTGCTAATCTTGTGTGACTGTTCACCACTTGTTCCTCTAAGATGTTGGATGCTGACTGCTCAGCTAACCAGTAGTTACAGAAACTAAACTTCTGTCAGTCATATGGGCATTGTAATTTATATCAGAGCAAACACTGGAAATTACTTGCATTTGACATCACTTTATTTTTGTCTAAGAAAAAATTGCATCATGTTGCTATTTCCTTTCCTTACTTGTCAAATTTAAGTTTCTTTGTGTTCTGCAAACTAGCACTCCTGTTATAAGCACAGGTCTTCAAAACTTTTTGGCAGGCCTTTCTTGCAGTGTTTGAAGTTGTCCCCATTTCCAGGCTCCAAGAATATTTGAAAACCAGTCTCTTTACCGCAACAGTGCTTGCAGTACTGAATCACTGACACTTCATATTAGTACCAGTGAATGCATTTGTGACATCTGGTGGTAGAAATGGATTTTTACAAAACTTCTATCCAATAGTTAACAACTTCAAACTAGCACAAATGATTTGATGGTCTTTAATCTACATCTAAAAATAGTTCCAAGAAGTCAAATGTCCTGAGAATTCTGTAATCATCAGAGGTGTGGAGTTGGTGGGTGTGGCACCAATGATGGAGTGCATAAATATCAGATTGTGGAAGTTGATAACAAAAAAAACATGATTATGAACAAAAACAGAAGTTGCAGGAAAAGCTCAGCATGTCAGGCAACATCTGTGAAGAAAAAAATCAGAGTTAACGTTTTGGGTCCCGTGACCCTTCCTCAAAACCCACTGAGGAAGGGTCACTGGACCCAAGACGTTAATTCTGATTTTTTTTTCTCCACAGATGCTGCCAGACCTGCTGAGCTTTTCCTGCAACTTTTGTTTTTGTTTCTGATTTATAGCATCCGCAGTTCTTTTGGTTTTTATTTAACAACATGATTATGTTAGGAGAGGTTTACTTCTTCATCACCCAGAAGTAAAGTAGCCTAAGGAAAGGTAATTAATTTCTGAAATATATTTGGGAGAAGTTTAGAGAACACGGTGTTGAGAACTGATAACAAAACAAATCGCACTGAATTAACTGACAAGAATTAGTTAGCAACTTGATTGTGAGGGTCTATTTTATACATGTTGATCGCACTATGTTATTAGGATTTAGAGAATGGAGGGATAAACAGTCAATCAAAGAAAGCAGTGAAAGATGTTAAAAAGGACCTGTAAGTTGTGGAATGCCACAAAGATTAATGCTGGGGCCTCAATTATGTAAGATATATTAATAGCTTGGATGAGGAAAGTGAATGTACTATAACCAGGATTGTTGTTGTTGTACTATAACCAAGTTTGTGGATGACACAAAAATAGGAGGAAACGGTTAGCACGACAAAGCATCTAAACAGGGATATAGGCAGGTTACGTGAGTGGGTAAAAACTCGGCAGATGGAATATAAAATGGAAAAATGTGAGGCTATGCATTTATGCCAGAAGAATAAAGGAGCTGAATGTTATTTAAGTAGAGAAAAGCTGCAGAGCAGAGGGATTTGGGAAACCTTGCACATGAATCACAAAAAGCTAACATCCAAGTTTGTTGGGTAATCGAGAAGGCAAATGTAATATTTATTTCATATTTATTTATAATAAATTTATTTATTTATTTTATTTCAAAGGGAATTGAGTATAAATGTAAGGAAGCTTTGCTAAAGTCAGACCTTAGCTGGAATACTGTCAAGGTTTTGGGCCCCTGATCTGAAGAAAGATATACTGGCCTTGGAGGCGGTCCAGAGAAGGTTCATCAGCCTGGAGTTTTGTAAACTGCATTCATTGCTGGAGTTTAGAAGAAAGGAGGGATATCGTATAAATAAAATTTTAACAGGACTAGATTGGGAACATCCTTCCTGCATTTACCCTCGGGCTGAGGAATCCAGAACCAGGGGGTCACATTTTAAGAATGCAGGATAGGCCATTTAGGACTAAGGTGAGAAATCTTGTTTTCACTCAGCGTGGTAAGCCTGTGGAATTCTCTGCCACAGAAGGCAGTTGAGCTCAAAGCATTGAATGTTTTCAGGAAGGAGTTAGCCATAGTTCTTCGGGCTAAATGGATCCGTAGGTATGGAACAGAAGCGGGAACGAAGTACTGAGTAGCATAATTAGCCATGATGATGTTGAATGGTAGAACAGGCTAGAAGAGCCAAATTGTCTATTCCTGTTCCTATTTGCTATATATCTATTCTGATCAGGGTACGGAGGGATCCTCTTATGAGAATGTTGGTCCTGTACTCGTTGAAGAATAGAAGAATGAGAGGTGACCTTATTCAAACATACAAGATTCTTAGGGACTTGTCAGAGTGGATATAGGAAGGTTGTTTTCCCTTGTGGGGCAGTGTAGGACTAGAGGGCATAATCTCAGAGTAGAAGGTTAAGAATTTATGACAGATGAGGAGGAGTTTCATTTCTCAGAGGACAGTGAATCTTTGGAATTCTTAACCACAGAGGGCTGTCAAGGCTGGGTTGTTAATTATATTCAAGGACGAGACCGACAGGATTTTAATCAGTAAGGGAATCAAGGGATGCAAGGAAAATGCAGGAAAGTGGAATTGCGGATTATCAGATCAGATATGATCTCATTGAGTGACTGAGCAGACTCAATGTGCTATAACAAGGTGTAGAGCTGGATGAACACAGCAGGGCAAGCAGCATCAGAGGAGCAGGAAGGCTGACGTTTCAGGCCTAGACCCTTCTTCAGAAATGGGGGAGGGGAAGGGGGTTCTGAAATAAATCGGGAGAGAGGGGGAGGCGGATAGAAGATGGATAGAGGAGAAGATAGGTGGAGAGGAGACGGACAGGTCAAAGAGATGGGGATGGGGCCAGTAAAGGTGAGTGTAGGTGGGGAG